TGAATTCAAAAGCTCATAATTTGTGGCTGAGATTTTTATGACCTAAGCCATGACATTAAAATAATTTCTTGCCGTCACCATTACGTATATAAATCTAGAGCGGTTGTAGATGGTTGAGCTTATTCTTAAAAGAAAAACCATGAAGTTCATTTTAATTTTTGCTGCCTTACTGTTTATAATAACTGAAGCAGAATTTAATTGTGAAGCTGCGGATCAATTTTTCGGAAATTTTTTGCATCTCACTGGCAAATATCTGTTTATACTTTATATAATTTTATATAATTGAAACAAATATTTATTCATAATCATGGACTAATCTCGTATTTTTTAATTTCACATATTTCCAAAATAAAGACATTCATCTTGATCCGTTTTACATAAGTAAAAGCGATCCTATACAATTATGTCACCGACAAAACGAAACTAATCCAGATTCAAACACTGCGGGAGAATATGGAACTTTATTAACTAGATGCGATGCACCATATACTTTAAGCAATGAAACAATGTCATATTTACAAAATTCTTTTAAAAATATCGATTTTATTATTTATACTGGAGATTTCGTTAGGCATGATCGAGATAAATCAATCCCCAGAACTCATGAACATGTTATTTTCGGCCATGAAATTATAATTAAATATTTTACAGATATTTTTGATCCTGACAAGATTAAGTTTGTACGTTCGCTGATTATTATATTATATCTATTTATATATCATAAATATATATTTAAAATAATTTGTTTGCATCTATTTATTTAAAAAGTTTCCCACATTGGGAAACAACGACGAATTTGGTAAGAAAATTTTTGCTTTTTTTTTTTGATTTACTGCTACATACAAATTTATCAACTAAAGTTATTAACTAAAATTTGCTTAAATTATTTAGATGATGACCAGCTTTCACCAGGTCCTAATGACCTATTAAGTGCCGTGCAAAACGCATGGGCTCCTTTAAAATTAAATTTGACAAATGACTTTTCAGTTGGTGGCTATTTTCGTCACGATATTAATTCAAAACTTTCAATCTTAAGTTTGAATTCAATGTATTTTTTTCCCAAAAATGTGCAATCTCCGGATTGTTCAGTTCCAAATTCACCTGGTGAAATACAATTGAAATGGTTTGAAAATGAATTGGAAAATGCAAAACATGATAATAGAAAAGTTTATATCATGCAACATGTCCCTCCTATTAATGTTACAGGTCATTATTAAGTGGATATATAAATTTGTTTTTCTAAAATTGAATGAATGAATATCTAGCGTTAAATTATCATCATTATTATGTATTTCTTTTTAATTATATAGGGTACTCACAATATAACGAATCATGTTACAATTCATATGTTGGTTTGCTTAGTCGTTATCATGACATTATTTATGGACATTTTTCTGGTAAGCTTACTCAAGTCTATTACTATGTATTTTATATTTTAAATTTCTTATTATTCGATATTGTTAAATTTTCATATCACAGGACATACAAATGAAGATAATACGGCATTTCTCGTATCCAATTCATCTTCAGGATATAAACTTATTGGACTTGGCGACCCTAAAACATTACAATCACCTGATAACTATAAAAATATAGTTATGCCATTATATAATGCCCCTTCAATTGTTCCAGGTAAAAAGTTTCACAAGTGGTATTTATTTCAAACATTATGAATATTCACTTTGTCTTATCTAAACCTTTATTTGAAGGTATCAATCCTGCATTTCGTGAATACTCTTATTCTACTTCTGATGAAACCTTTGGTAAATTACAAAGTTGGGTTCAATATTATTGTGATCTACTAAAAGCCAATCAAGAAGGAAAAATCACTTGGGAGATTGAATACACCACAGAATCTGCTTATAATATGAAAGGATTGGATGTAAATGATTGGCTTGAGGTATTAACTAACTTTTCTTTACCAGATTCAAACACTTGGAAATTGTATAAACACTTTATTTTTGCTAGTACTAATGTTAGTGGATCTTATTATGGATTCTTGAATAAGTTGAATCATTAAATTTTTTTGAAAAAAATAGATTGTTTTATTGATTAGTAATAGAGAGCAATTTATAGCTTGTAATATAGAGAAATTTACTGGTGCAATAGAAAGTAATTTACTGTTGTAATAAATTGTTTAATTGTGTTAGATAGATAGTGTTATAGTTGATTAATGTATCGACTCAGAAAAGAAATTCTGCAAATTGGATTAAGATCGATATAAGTTTAATTAAAGCTATTGTGAGGTACGAAACCCGTCATCGATACGAGCTGCGCCAAGCTCACGATGTTCACAGTTATGA